GTAAGTTCCCAGTGGAGTGAATAATTTAGACAGGTAGTATGGTTTCCAAATATGCGGTTCCATAGAAGGGCATTCTATTTGGATAGAATGTTTAATGATTTAATGATGGGGGGATGGGGGAAGGATAAGATGCAGGTAAATTGTAAGAGACACAACTCATAATTAGCCCTTTTCAGTCTTCTTTTTCCCTCCTATGCCTCCCTCTGGGTAACTGGGCTACTGAATTTGCAAGTGGCAAAAAGGAGTGGGGATAGAGGCTAGAAGACCTTAACTGGTACTTCTTTTACTGCCCAACTTTGCATTGTGGATCTGGTAGATTATGGGTATTTGTAATGATCATAGATACAAGGTGACAACTGCCATGGTATCTCTGGCATGGCTCACATGTCAGGGAGCAAGAGGGATGTTCTAGAATGGTACAGTGTATAAGGAAGAAACCACTGAGCCACCTAGAAATGAACATGTCCAGTTGGTGTGGATTAGACACGGTGAGGACTGGCAAAAGGGTGAAGCGTTTGCTTCAGGAAATTATCGCCCCACTCATGTTGTGGAAAGGGAACAGCAACTCCAGCTTGTAGGAAAGAAACACCTCAGACCCTGGGAAATCAGGGGTGAGGGAAGTAGCATTGCCCTCTCTTACATTAAATATCTCTGGAAGGACACATAGGAAGGGGATGAAGAGAGGAAAATGTCTTTAGTCTTTTGTACCTGCTGAGTGACTATTTTATAGTTTAAAAAACATTAAACATTTAAAAATAACACTGTACCTAAACCTCAAACTAATATTTAGAAATTAATAGTCCCAGCCATAATGCTAGGGCACTACGTGAGGACCTAGAATATAAAAGTACTCAATAAAAACAAGTTAGATTTTCTTTTAAAGTGACATACACTTAAGTCATACAATTTTCGGGTATGAAATTGTTTTAAAGATGTAGATATACAAGAATAGTGCAAGCTGTTAACTTTATTTTTATTTAATACAATGATGAAATTAACAGACAAATATATTTTAATAATATAACAAAGCTATTATTGTTAGGGTATTATCTACATTTTAAGGTTTTTTAAGTCAAAGACTTAACATCTGAATTTTAACTATTTTTGAAATGTAAAATGCACAATTAGTAATACCCATACTACATATCTTAGAATTTTAAAGTTTTAGTGAAAACATTTGAGTCTCTGCAAGTAAAAGCAATAGTTCTCCTGTATCTAAGAAAAAAAATGTATTACTAAAAAAGTGCCACTAGATTTAGACAATGCTAAACTGTTTCCTTTTTGGGGAGGAGGACAAAGTACATAATAGTATAGAACTAGTCATTTTCATTATACTAGTATGGAACTAGTAATTTGCATTATGCTTTGTAACAAGCACAAGAGTGCTTATTTATAGTAGATATTAACCACAATAAATAACTCCTCAAAAAAGATCACAGCTATGATGGGTGACAAGCTGTTCAGTCATTGCTGAAAATAGTCCAGAGTTTTTTAAAAAGTGCAATCTTGATCTGAGATAAACTTAAGTCTACCAATACCAAGAAATAGTTTTAGGGACTTCATATAAATACAGTAACCTGTCTTTTTTTTCTTTTGTAAAATAGGTTTCTACCTGTTCTAAGGAGGAGAATAGTGGTAGATAGCAAAGTTTGGCAACAAGTATGTTTCTAGCAGGTGAAAGCCTGGTATCCATTCTATAAGATGCATCTTTTTTTTTTTTTTTTGAGACGGAGTCTCGCAAGATGCATCTTTTACGGAAAGAAAGCATGCTTATTAGATGTATACAGTACTTTTCAGGCACTTGACCTCACTTGGTAGCTAAGTTGGTGTTCAGATGTTTGTTTAATGGAAAAACATTAAATTACATATTGGCTTCAAGCCATGTTCCCATAGAACATCTGTGTTTCATAAGCTAAATCCAAATGTTCCCTGCTAAAATCAAATAATGATGCCATATACCCAATTCAGAGAAAAAATTTAATAGATTAAATAGATTGAATTGTCTCAATTTTTAAGGTTTCCCGCTATAAATTTTTCTTAAATCTTTGTTGCCTGTTACTTGTCTGAATGTTAGCAGAAAAAAGGCTTGACAACTGTGAAATACTATGCCTAAATGACATTAAAATGAGAACTGCTGATCAGTACAATATACTGTTCATGGAAATATGCTTATATTTTCACTCTTACACTGCTTAAGAGCCATATTTTCTCATAGTAAATGTGTTCCTAGTTCATATTATAGAATTCAGTATGTAAACATTTCAATGTACCCAAAAGAGCATTATGAATTTATCTATTATCCCTAAATACGTTTGGTGAACTTCTACATCAATGCCTGGCTCCAAAACTATCTTTGGGGTCCATGCCAAAGGAATGCTTTCGGATATAATCTAAGGATAGGATTCTAAAATGAGACTGCCAAATTCTATTCTAAAATGAAAAAATATGGCAAGATTCCGGTATGGATGCCACTGTTTCCATTTTTTTCTTGACAATTTAGCATGTAGTGTAAGTGTGTTGACATTAAGGATTTTTTTATATGCATGTATCATGGTATTACAATTTGGGAAAATTCTGCAATATATTTTCAGGCAATTGGCTTTAAAATAATGAAGCTTCAGCTTTTAGCACAAACAGCCCTGAGAACAATGCATTCATATTACAGCTCAACTAGAAATAATCGAATTGAGAAACCTTAAAGTACAAAAACAAGTTCTGGAAAAGTTGTAAATTAAAAAAAAAAAAAAAGTTACCAACAGTTGAGGCACCACCAGACAATACTTTTAAGAGTTGGGAGTTTGGAAAAAAGAACTAACATACAAAGCTATGTGCGTACATGTGCACATGCAAATTGTGTTGTAATGAAAAATTGTGTCTCCAAATTTTACAGCCTGATCATTTTATTGCAGTGTCTCCTATTATAGATATCATGCTCTGACTGCAGGAGAGTTTTGGTAATTAACAGAAAGCGCTGGTACAGAGACTTGTATCATTAAGGGAAACAGAGTCAAGAGCTTGGTTAGCAACAATTTCTTCAAGTGACTGACAGCCCCTGGAAGGGAGCCTGAAAAAAACATCATAATTATGTTTATGATGCAAATGCTAAGTCAAAGTAGCAATGATATGATCTATGTTGTAGCAAATAAGGTATAACAAAGTCTTCACAGTATAAATAAAATGTTCTAAAAAGAAACAAATATTCAACCTGTTAATAAATTGGTAAAATGTATACAGATAAAAATGGCTTATCATTGTACAGTCTATCAACATGACAGTCCACATTCTATATATGGTAACTCATGATTTTTAACATTTGCTACAAAAAAGTACAACAAATATTAGGAATCAACTTTAACATTGCTGATGTCTAAAAAGAATGAAGTCACTTCTGTTCTATGTTTAAAAATACATGTTCCCTACTTCCTTTTAATATAATTTATAAAGCTTTACTAAATGAAATATTTTGTTCTAGAGAGATATCTATTGACTTATGTGAAAATAAAGTCCCATATCTTTAAAATCTATACTTATATATCAAGAGTATTTACACTTCATATATTACTTAAAATGAAAATATTTATGCATAAACAGCTTTTGCCATTCAAAGTATGAAGACAGAGATGCATTATTATAATTTGTACACCCTTAATTTGTACACAATTGAAAATATATGTGAAATTTTACAAGTTAGGAAGAACAGGGGCATGCTAATCGAGAGTTAATACTAAATCATAACACCAGCATGGTTAAAAGGGGCCACAGGAATGACCTGCAAGCAGCACAGATTAATAATTTTCTGGAATTCCTATGAGTTACAATGCCAACCAGTAGCAATGAAGATACACATTGCAGAGTACTAAGAAACTAGAGCAGTATGTAGTAGGTACTTAAATAGAATACTGGAAAGAATGTAGCCTAATTTTAATTGTGCTTTAGATGGGCAAACGCTAAAATGTTATACTAAAAACGACTAACTACAACCTCACTATTTCTTGTGTTTTAGAAATTTCCTCTTTGCATTTCTCTTAAAGTATCTTGCTTCTTCCCCAAATGTGTTTGCTGAGGCTAAGACAAGATTTAAAAGTATGTACAAATTAAGCAGCTAAAACTTGGGATCTTCTGTTACTAATGCTGTTACCGGTCACTGATTAGATCAGTTACATCATCATATATGATATACTTTCCTTCAGAAGATAGGAACAAAGCACTTTTTAGAGGTCAAGGCATGATGGGAGAAGTCTAAGAGCCAGTCTTGGAGAATTAAGGTATTTCTGAGATAGTGATTTTGTTCTGTGTTTTGCTCCAATATGATGATTGTTACTGAGTCAAAGGTCCTCACAAACCCTGTGATAATGTCTAAAATTCTGGAAATAATATACATATGACTCAAAAGATTAAATAGAAATGCAGTGGTGTCACCTAAAATACCTTTTAAAATAATTCAGTTTATAGAATTATTTATTACTTATATTTCACACCAGCAACTGAATTAAGTCACACAACAATCAGAAAAAAATGCATATACTTAAAATAAGTTAAATAATAATATTCATATAAAGTAATGTTGCTTCCATGATTCACTTTCAATTCACTTTAGAACAAAAAGGACATAAAATTAACAAAAATTCCAAATCAATTTAAGGAATTCTCAGTTTTTATTTAATAAATACATTAGTGTCAAAAAATCTACTTAAAAATGGTTGGAAATGGGCCAGGTGTGGTGGCTCATGCTTGTAATCCCAGCACTTTGGGAGGCTGAGGCAGGCGGATCACCTGAGGTCAGGAGTTCAAGACCAGCCTAGACAACATGGTGAAAACCCCGTCTCTACTAAAAAAATACAAAAAAATTAGCTGGGTGTGGTAGTGCACACCTGTAGTCCCAGCTACTTGGGAGGCTGAGGCAGGAGAATTACTGGAACCCAGGAGGCAGAGGTTACAGTGAGCCGAGATGGCACCACTGCACTGCAGCCTGGCTGACAGAGTGAGACTCAGTTTCCAAAAAAAAAAAAAAAAAAAAAGAAAAAGTTGGAAAGGAGTATTTACTGATAAATAGTAGTATTTATTCAACATGGTTGGAAAACAAGCATTGCATAGTATCCTGTAAAGCAGATCACTCCCTTTATATGTTGGGGGCAAAGTTAAAAGCAAAAACAACTGAAAAGCAACTTCATTTTTATACTGACTTACAAAGTCCTCACATAAAAATGTATAGATTTAATGAACCCTCTCTGCCACTGTCTTTTGTGTCTTCCTTATAATCTTACTTGCTAACTTTCACCCAACAGTTCAGTGCCCTTCTGCCAACCATAAGAAGGGACTAAACCCACCATCTAAGGTTACATCAAGTTTGCCAACAATTTGATAAATAGTATGACCAAAGTAATTACGTGGTTGCATGTGGCCGCCAAAATAACTGCCACTTTTGGATAACATGATTTTTGTTTAAGGATTTGTGTTTGCCCTACACCGGCTGAAACTGCAACAATTCCAGTACATAATCAGTTCATTTAATATTAAATCTGTAATTAATGCAGAGTAGTTCAACTTAAATGTGGTACTTCAATACCACTTTATGCTACATTGTTTGATTTAAAACCCTGGTTTATCATTTAACTAAAACACAGGAATGATTTGCTCAGACATCACATCTGCTGAAGCTATCTTGTTTGTTTCTTGAACTGACATACTGAAAACCACAGGAATATTATAGGAAACATACCTACAAAATTAAAAAAAAATTATACATATTGATAATTTTTAAAAATTATCGATTGCTTGCAAAACTAACCCAGCACATTCTGAAAACAATTAAAAAAAGAAATGAGGTTGCTTATGAAGGCTATAGCTTTGGTGACAACTTAGAACCAAATTAGATCTGCAGTTGATTCAGACCTAAACAGTGTTCATGCCTGATGTTTCCATTTATTTGCAGGGTTTTATGGCTACAGCATATTCTTCACTCATTGCACACATGACAGACACCTAGAAGGAAAAAAGCAGGCAAAAGGTTATTCAGGAGACAATACACATAGAAGATATAATTAGTTCATTATATATTGTATATTTGTGGATATTTCATACATAGGGACTTCTGAAAGGGGTATTCCAAAACAAGCTACTTTCTTTACAGTTTTCCAAAGCAGAATTTCTCAAATAGTGGTTTGTAAGACAACTTCCAGGGAAAAGGAAAAATGACTATAAATGTTTGAATACTTACTACACATTACATTTCTGAAAGTTTTAACAAAGACAGTAAATCTCCTTCACTTTTTAACACTCTACTAGCATAATTTCTTACCTGCAAGAATAGCTCAGGGCCAGGCGCCTTGTTCAGGCCTGTAATCCTAGCACTTCTGGGAGGCCAAGGTGGGCAGATCGCCTGAGGTCAGGAGTCTGAGACCAGCTTGGCCAACATGTTGAAACCCAATCTCTACTAAAAATACAAAAATTAGCCAGATGTGGTGGCGTGCGCCTGTAATCCCAGCTACTCAGGAGGCTGAGGGGAGACTCACTTGAACCCGGGATGCGGAGGTTGCAGTGAGCCGAGATCATGCCACTGCACTCCAGCCTGGGTGACAGAGGGAGACTCCATCTCAAAAAACAAAACAAAACAAAAAAAGGGTCAGCTGCAGAGCTTCAGAACAAATTTGGGTTTGAGAGTAATGTTGATGTAGCAAAAACAAACTTTGATACTTTCTTTGGTAATGAGTCTCTAAGGGTTTTATGGAAAACCTGCCTGAGAGATCATTTTCAACATTTTAGTAGTATTTTTAAACCACATTCCATATGTAGTATTTTATGTTAACTAGTTGAGGCTGAAGTTTTTACAAAATGGTTTTCAAAAACAATCCTTCTCTAAGTCTTTACCTGTACATCTTCACCTGCATTGTATTTTCCTTCTATTTCTTTGCCTAGTTCACCTTCTGGCAGTTTAAGATCCTCACGAACTTCACCAGTTTCTGTCAGCAGGGAAAGGTAACCATCTTGAATGCATATCAGCTATTAGAAGAAATTACATCATTTGTGCTGATTAGATTATATCCACTTCTTTGTAATGTTTACATAGTTAAATTGCAATTGATATTCTTGTAAGTACAAAGTAATACATTAATATTCTTGGTATTTAAAAATGCTAAAAATATAAAAAATATAAAATATGTACAGAATGGAAGTATAAGTTTACTCCTCCCGGTACTTCTCATACCCAATCTCTGCATTATTAAACAGTTTAGGTTTCTTTACAGTGTATTCCATTTATGTTTACAAAATAAATATAGTTGCTTTTTTTTTTAAATGGGATATTTTAAGTACTTTACAGTGAGCTGTTTTGACTTAATAATATGTCTTAGAAATACTTTCTAACCAGAAAATATAAACCTACCTTAGTTAACTACCACATAGCTCCATGGACATACTATAACTGATTTAACCAATTTCATATTACTGGGCATAAAAGTTATTTTTGCTATTACAAACAATGCATTTTCTAATTTGAGTATGAGCAAAATTAAGTGGAAAATTTTTGGTCTTCAGCCAACAACAACAACAATAACAACAACAACAAAATCTACTAGTGTATGGATAACAGTAGCAGAAAAAAAAAACAAAAAAACCACAGTTGTCAACCCAACCTGCAAAAAAGCAGTTTTGATACCACTGAACTTCTTTTACTACAGGAATGAGGAAACAACCAACCTCCACTCATTTATTCTATTAATGAAAGCATGTACACCATTAGTATGCCTAGAATCCTAATACGTTTTATAAAAGGCTATTATCCAGAATACTGGCTGCTAATATCTACAAAAGGAATCAAAGACAATGGCCCTTGAACCCCTGTAAACCACTACGATATAACCCAGACATATCGTTGGGATTGTTCTCCTCCACATACAGCGCCTATCAAAACTGACTATGGCTCTCCACAGAAACTCCATCTACCACAGGAAATTTGTTTTTATGTCTAGAAATCTCAAAAATAAGAAATCCTACAGAGCTACAACAAAGAATTTTAACTAACCTCTTAGACCCTCAAATATTTGTGAGGTGGCTGGTAGAGAAGTAGGAGCAAGGAGGTTAAGGTAGAAGTGTAATTTTTAAAATATATATATATATGGATATATAGTTAAAGATGGGGATCTCATTATATTGCCTAGGCTGGCCTCAAACTCCTGGGGTCAAGTGAGCTTCTGCTTTAGCCTTCCCAGGAGCTGGGACTATAGGTGTGCACCAATCCACGTAGCTTGAAGTGTAATTTTTAAACAACCACAACATTCCAAGGCAAAACTTTCTGATTTCTGTTTAGTTATTCCCTAAAGCAGAGCTTGTCTATTTCAAGAGTTAAATGTTCCTACTGTGCCACTAGTGACTGAAACACAGAAGCCAAATAATAATACTGATATTTTGAAAACGATGTATGTAATGGAGTTATTTTATTTTTTAAGAGTTAAGAATCATAAACTGTGGCATGAAATATATAAAGCATTTCAAATTTGAAATGTATAAATATAAAACATCTAGTAAAACAATGCATTTACAAACACTAAACATCTTATAAAATAAATTGCTATATTAAATACAATTAGAGTTTTTAAAAATAAAACTAAGCTATGAAAAACAAAAATAATGAGAACAAATTAATCTTTGATATGGTTTGGCTTTGTGTCCCCACCCAAATCTCATCTTGAATTGTAATCCCCACATGTCGAGGGAGGGACCTGGTGGGAAGCAACTGGATCATGGGGTCAGTCTCCCCAGTGCTGTTGTCATGATAGTGAGTTCTCTTCAAAGTGTTTAGCAGTTCCTGCCTCACTTGCTCTATCTCCTGCCGCCATGTAAGATGTGCCTTGCTTCCCCTTCGCCTTCTGCCATGGTTCCGGAGGCCTCCCTAGCCATGTGGAACTGTGACTCAATTAAATATCTTTTCTTTATAAATTACCCAGTCTCAGGTAGTTCTTCATAGCAGTGTGAAAAAGGACTAATACAGAAAATTGGTACCAGGAGTTTGGGCCACTGCTATAAAGATGCCTGAAAATATGGAAGCCACTTTGGAACGGGGTAACAGGCAGAGACTAGAACAGTTTGGAGGGCTCAGAAGAAAGAAAGATGAGGGAGAGTCTGAAACTTCCTAGAGACCTGTGGAATGAATTTGACCAAAATGCTGACAGTAATATGGACAGTGAAGTCCAGGCTGAGGTGGTTTCAGATGGAGATGAGGAACTCACTGGGAACTGGAACAAAGGTCACTTCTGCTGTGCTTTAGCAAAGAGACTGGCTGCATTTTGCCTTGCCCTAGAGATCTGTGGAACTATGAACTTGAGAGAGATGATTTAGGGTATCTGGCAGAAGAAATTTCTAAGCAGCAAAGTGTTCAAGAGGTAACCTGGCTTTTTTTGAAAGCATACAGTCATATGCATTCATGAAGAGATGATCTAAAACTGGAGCTCATGTTTAAAAAAAGGCAAGAATAGCATAAAAGTTTGAAAAATGTACAGCCTGACCATATAGTAGAAAAGAAAAACCCATTTTCTGGGAAGAAATTCAAGCCAGCTGCAGAAATTTCCACAAGTAACAAGGAGCTGAATATCAATAGCCAAGACAATGGGGAAAATGTTGCAAATGGGGAAAATTTTGTAAAGATGGGGTTTCACCACATTGCCCAGGCTGGAGAACTAGTTTTTTAAAAAAAAAAATTCACAGAAATGTTTCTGGACATTCCAGATGTCTTCATGGCATCCCCTCCCAACACAGGCCCAGAGGCCTAGGAGGGAAAAATGGTTTCGTGGGCCAGACCCAGGGCCCTGATGCTCTGTATAGCCTTGGGACTTGGTGCCCTGTATCCCAGCCACTCCAGCTCCAGCTGTGGCTAAAAGGGGCCAAGGTACAGCTTGGGCTGTTGCTTCAGAGGGTGTGAGCCCTAATTCTTGGAGGTTTCCATATGGTGTTGGGCCTGCAGGTGCACAGAAGGCAAGAGTTGAGGTTTGGGAGCCTCCGCTTAGATTTCAGAGGATGTATGAAATGTCTGGAGGTTCAGGTAGAGGTCTGCTGCAGGGGCAGAGCCCTTATGGATAACCTCTGCTAGGGCAGTGTGGAAGGGAAAGGTGGGGTTAGATCCCCCCCACAGAGTCCCCACTGGGACACTGCCTAGTGGAGCTGTGAGAAGGGGATCACCATCTTCCAGATTCCAGAATGGTGCACCATGTGTCTGGAAAAGCCACAGGCACTCAATACCAGCCACTGAAAGCAGCTGCAGAGGCTGTACCCTGCAGAGCCACAGGGGTAGAGCTGCCCAAGGCCTTGGGAGCCTACCTTTTGGATCAGTATGCCCTGGATGTAAGACGTGGAGTCAAAGGAGATTATTTTGGAGCTTTAAGACTGAATGGCTGCCCTGCTAGGTTTCAGACTTGTATGGGACCTGTAGTTCCTTTGTTTTGGCCAATTTCTCCCATTTGAAGTGAGAGCATTTACCCAATGCCTGTACCCTCATTGTATCTAGGAAGTAACTAACTTGCTTTTCATTTTATAGGCTCATAGGCGGAAGGGACTTCCCTTGTTTCAGATGAGACTTTGGACTTGGACTTTTGGGTTAATGCTGGAATGAGTTAAGACTTTCAGGGACTGTAGAGAAGGCATGATTGTGTTTTGAAATGTGAGAACATGAGATTTGGAAGGGGCCTGGGACAGAATGATATGCTTTGGCTCTGTGTCCTCACCCAAATCTCATCTTGAATTATAATCCCCACATGTCAAAGGAGGGACCTGGTGGAAGGTGATTGGATCATGGGGGCAGTTTCCTCCATGCTGTTCTCATGATAGTAAGTGAGTTCTCATGATATCTGATGGTTTAAAAGTGTTTGACAGTACCCCCCTGCTTGCTGTCTCTCCTGCTGCCATATAAAACATGCCTGCTTCCCCTTCACCTTCCTCCATAATTATAAGTTTCCTGAGGCCTCCCCAGCCATGTGGAACTGTGAGTCAATTAAATCTCTTTTCTTTATAAGTTACCCAGTTTCAGGTAGTTCTTTATAGTAGTGTGAAAATGGACTAATACAATCTTTTAAATTGAATTATTTATTAAAAAATCTTAAGTTCTATAGAAAAGTTGCAATAATGCAATGAAATCCCATATCCTTTACCTAGATACTGCCATTGTTAACATTTATCACATGTGCACTATTTTCTCTATGTATACATCCAACATATATAACATCTATCATATACATTCTTATTATTTTTACAGAACTATTGAGAGTAAGTTCCAAAGATCATGATTCTTCAGCAGTAAATACTTCAGTGCAACAGCCATGACTTTTCAGCAATTAAAACTTCAGTGTATTTTTCTCAAGAACAAGTATATGCTCTTAGATAACAACAATATATTTTTCAAAGTCAGGGAATTTAATACTGATAACCTATTATTCAATATATAGTACATATTTAAATTTGCCAATTATCCTAGTATTGTCCTTGATGGCAACTTATTTCCCTAACTCCAGGGTCATATCTTGTATTTATTTGGCTATCATATCAGTTTAGTCTCTTAATTCTAACAGTTTCCCCAACCCCTTAACTTTCATGGCATCAACTTTTTGTTTTTTGGGGGGTTTGGTTTTTGTGAGACCAGGTCTTGCTCTTTCACACAGGCAGGACTGTGGTGGCATGATCATGACTCACTGCAGCCTCAACCTCCAGGGCTCAAGTTATCCACCCACCTCAGCCTCCAGAGTCACTGGGACCACACGCATACAACCACTATGCCTTTTTTTTTTAAATTTATTTTTATTTTTGTAGATACAGGGTCTTCCTGTGTTGCCCAGACTGGTCTCAAACTCCTGGGGGTTCACTGTTTTATAGAATATTCCTCAGTTTGTGTTTGTCTCACTGTTTCCTCATGATTAAGGTAACATTTTTGAAAGGAATACTATACAAATGATGTGCCCTCAGAGTATCCTATCAGGAGGCAAATGTCAATTTGTCCCATTACAAGTGATGCCAATTTT